AAATACCCTACAATAATATAATAGTTGTTAGGGAAGTGATAATTAAGTCCAAAAGATCAATAATTACAATGACAGCCCAGATGTTAAATATTTAAAAAAAATAAATTATAAATATCATTCAAAGAAACAGCAATTACTAATCTTAAACGAGATATTTAAATTTTAAATAAACCTTTCAGTATTTCCAATTCATTTTTTAGCAATTTCTTTGAGAATTTAACTGCCTTTAAAAGACTGCTCTTTTGGCATCTCACTCTTTTTACTTATAATTATTGGTTTTCCCCCCCATAATCTCCATTTTTCATCATTTGTATACACATGCCTAGAATTTATTGGATACTCCTCTTATATCAAGAATTGTATAATTCATAGATTTTAAAAATACAAAAGTACTTATAAACTTGTTAAATTAAAGCAAAAATAACATGGCGTAGTCTTACAACCATCACTTTTTGCAGTGAGACCCATGATAATATTTAAAAATACTAAAATATCCCTAATTTAAAAAGGGTCAATTGTGTAAAAATAACCCTAAACTTTTAACCGAAGTACTAAAATACTCCTAACGTTAGTTTATAAAAATCAGTTGAAATAAAAAATAATATAATCAATCTTAATCCAAACAAGCTCATATATTTAAATTCTGATAGAACTGAAAAGCCAAAAAAAGCCATAACTAATTCAATTTTGGTGTTTCCTTGTAGTATGGGTATTTAAGAGAAACGATCAATATAATGAAGAAGAATATTTGATTGTGAGCATAAAAGAAAGTGTTAATTTTTTCTTTTTTTAATAAAAAAAAAAAGAGGAAAGCTTTAATTAAGTTCAGAGCGCAGAGCTGCTGGAGGACCATCCCCATTTGAAATGGATCGCGTTCCGTTCCATGGAGTTTCACAGTCATTGTTCATCATTTGCCAGTTTCCACTGTTTGAAAGGTGGAGAGTCATATGCCAGAAAGCCAGATTCCATTTTCATAGGCAGACTGACCATCTTTGTATAAAAGTCAAAAGTTGCTTTTTCTTGCTTTTTTTTGTGCATTTGCTTCTGTTCTAAGATTGCCCTTGGCGTACAGCATTACGTTCTCCATTGTCCTCATATAATACAAAATTATCTAATTTATATATACGTACCAATAAACTATTTAACTGAATTATTATGTCTTAAAACTTTTTTTTTTTCATTTTTCTACTCTTACCCTCAATCTATACTTTTGCATGTTCTGAGCTTCAATCCGAGTTGGGATAAGTCTTATTTTTTTAGTAAAAATATAGTATCGTTCATCAAGAAGAAAAACTATATGACAATAGACTGGCATGATAAGAAGTGCTGAGTTATGTTATTCATTCACAAGGGACTTTTTATACAAAACATTATTTAATATCATTCCTCAAAATGAGAGATATCACTATTTAGGAGGCTCTTCACCATCAGCCATGTGCGTGGGCCTTAGAATTTCTGGCACTTCGCTTTTGCTTTCTGCATATTGCGTGTCATTATTCAATAATTTGCTCCACAATATAATGCAAGTATATGCTATGTACTACCTGAATACTGTTTATATTTATAATTATTCTTCCTGTTTTAGATATAAAACTCTTATACATACGTGTATAAGGATAAGAATCTTATATTTAGAATTGAAAGAGTATAATATATAAATAATTAATTCAGATCGATTAAATAAGTTAATTGAATTAACTATTTATAAAAATTTAAATTAATTTTTTAAAAGTTTTTATTTATATTGAAAACTACTTTTTTTTAATGAAAATGGCTATAAGTAATTAAGATAAGAAGATACATACGAGCCTAATGTGTGACTTCATCTCTCTTACACTACTTTTCATCTTTAATATAAGACAAAATTATTCTCAGATAATTTCTTCACTGCTTATGAGCAAACAAGCTATCCACTTGTGTGCGAACTTTCTACTTTAATTTTCGCAGTTTTGAGAGTGTAGTTTCAGTATTCTCACTGTCGCGCAACAATCCGCACCTTACTCCTCCGTGTTTGTTACGTACAGGGTCACAGTCACCCCATCCTCCACGCGCAATTGACTTGCTTTTCGGGTTCACTCCATTAGATTATTTCCAATGCTGCCCAGGGGAAAAATAAGAGAGGTGTAATTATAGTGCTTTTTATTAAATCATATTTTATGGGGACATTTGACAGCAGGCGTATATATTTCTTGGGAAATTTGATTTTCTTTTCCTTTTTGACCATCCCTTGGAAAATTTGACCTGCTCTGGTATATCTCAGAGCTTCCTTTGTAGGTGGGCACAGTAGCCAAGCAATCTGATATGGCCTCATCTTCTTCCACTGCTTCCTCTTCTCAATCTCCAAAGAAATATTAGCTTCAGATCAGGCGAGGCCAACCGCTTCAAGTTCACAAGCCACCCTCATGAAGCTCTTCGCAGAAACCAAATAGATACATACATCGACTATAGACTTGATGAAATATTATCCTCGTGTCGTGCTACGTACCTGCTGTTAGTTTAAGTTTTATGGAAATTTAGTCCTTTTAAAGTCCGGTTGGCGGAAATACACAGGTTGGGCAAGTTAAGTTACGCTTTTTGGCTTCCCTTCTATCCGAAATGGAATGCATTGCCATGTAATCTTAATTACCATGGGTGTGTTTGTTTAGTACATTTTTAAGGGGGAAAAAATAGAATTATTTATTTCAAATAGAAAATGGAAACACCAAAATATCTCTGGCAGTTACCAAAAAATCATCCTTTGCAGTATTCTCAAACAGAGGAAACTTCGCTTTTATCTTTTTGCTTCAACAGAGCGTTCGCTTGGGTCACGGCATTAACAACAGACATCACACTCAGCAGTTTTCTCCAAAGCGCAAATATCTCACCTTTTATCTTTCGCGGACACTGCGTTTCCTTCACTTGTAACAGAGGGTCTATTTTCAGGGCCAATGTGCAGTGATTACTCCCCCCCCCCCCCCTCTTTTGGTACAAGCACTATCATTTTGTATATTAGTGAAATGCAGCCTATCCTTTTAAATTGTAAGTTCTGATTCTACATGTGTTCCTGATTCTTCATCTCCTATTTAAAATTATTTTAAGATGTTAGTTGTTACTAAATAATACTTTAAGATACTGGATGTCATTTAAAAAAAAAAAATCAGTACCCCTTATTTTATACCCAAAACATTGTTGGCCTTCTTCAAGTTATAGGTTATCTATTTTCAAGTTTTGCTTACCTTTGTATCTTTAGAAAAAATTAGTTTATTTTATTTTATTTAGTGCAAATGTCAACAATAAATTTGAGTTTAAAAACTCATTCAAATATAGTAAATGACAACCAACTGAATTATGTAACTAAAAAAATTAAATAGTTAAAATTAATGAAATATTATATATGAAATATGATGTAAATAACTATTTCGGATGTATTTGGATTAACGGTAACAAAACTGACTTTTATTTTGTTTGATTTTTGAAAAAGTCAGTTAGGATAAAAGTCAATAAGTGTAATATGATTTATACTTGGATTGATTTGTTATAAAAGTCACTTTGCTAAATCAAAACTTATTTAGAAAGGTAAGTTTACATATAAAATGACTAAAAAGCCATGAATTTTAAAACATATATTTCATATATATAATTTAATAAATGTAAGAAAAATAATAAATTAAAATAAACATTATAAAAATAAAAAGAGCTAATATATCTACTAAAAAAAGGACAATACTCTTATCAATTTTCTTATATTCATCATGTTAAATTCTCCGATCACACATGATTATGTATCATATTTTTAAAATATTTGCATTTAATAATATTTAGTTATAAACTTATATGAAATAAATGAACATATGACCGCATGTGATTAGAAAAATTAACATAATAAATATAAGTCATTTGACTTAAATATTTTCCTTAAAAAATTTCTAAGCATTTAAAAAATTATTACTAACAAAAAAAATCAAATTATTAAGTTAATATAAGACTCACTTAAATATTATTCCTTTTTTTTTTTTTCACATCCTCAGCAGCAAAAATTTTTAACTTTAGTGGTACCATGATTTTTCTTCAAAAGATCATTTGAGAAAAAGTTAACCCACCCACCAAATGACTTTTCACATTGCCAAAGCCAAGTTTGCTGGTTTTAACACCACTCCAACCACATGCTTAGAGTGAGGGTCCATTATTCTCACTGTCACGCGCAATCTGTACTTACTCCGCCGTGTTTTTTACGCGACAGTCACACCCTTACACGCAATTGACTTGCTTTTTGGGTCTATGAAAAGAAGAGAAAATGAGGGCTAGTAATAAAAATAATTAACAATTGTCAAAACTTGCAGTTTTGAAATGTTAAAACTCTAATGCTTGCTAGCTCTGGCTTTCACTTTAAATGTTTTGATAATATATGTTGTTATTTTTTGAAAAGAATGAGCATTTGTTTAATCTTATATTTCTAGAGGCGAAGACTAAACATGCAACACAAGTAAGAGTAGGGATGTAACTATAGTGCTTCATTAATCCAAATTTCATTAGGACATTTGACCTCAGGCGCTTATATTTTCTTGGGGAAATTTGATTTTCTTTTTCTTTTTCTTTTTGGATCAGCCCTCAGAGAATTTGATTAAAGCTTTGGGTGCAGGTCTCAAAGATATTGGATCAACATTTCGGAGAAAGTGTCGATGGAATTTCCTTACTCTCTTTGCTATGTTTTTCATTTAGTGCTGTCTTTTCCACACGCTACTTTGGTTCAGTAGGAGGGCCCTTTCTTTGAAATTTCAAATTTGAGAACCAGGCGATGTGAAATTTCAAATCTCTAAAAGTTAGCTTTGCTTTTATTTATAATTTATTATGATTATTTATTATTCATTTTGTTCCGTCTTTCATTGACTTGGTTGACTCAATCTATTCCCCTAAAATCTTATATATATTCCTCTTAGGCCGGCTTGTTTCCTATTGCCAATCGTTCTTAGATCAGAATTGAAAGCAGTCCCAAATCGTTTCCTATAGCCAAGCAATTTGATATGGCTTCATCTTCTTCCTTTGCTTCGTCTTTTCAATCTCCAAAGAAATATGATGTTTTTATTAGCTTCAGAGGCGAGGACACCCGCTTCAACTTCACAAGCCACCTTCATGAAGCTCTTCGCACAAACCAAATAAATACATACATCGACTACAGACTTGAGAAAGGAGATGAGGTATGGCCGTCTCTTGAGAAAGGCATTGAAAATTCAACTCTGTTCCTTGTGGTCTTCTCAGAAAACTATGCATCTTCCACTTGGTGTCTGAAGGAGCTTGCAAAAATATTAGAGTGCTCCAAAAATCAAGATTGCTCTGTTATGCCGGTGTTCTATAGAGTGGATCCTTCACATGTAAGGAAGCAGTCTGGGAGCTACCAGAAAGCATTTGAAGAACATGAGCGCAAAAGAAACATCAACAATCAACAACTGCAAAAGTGGAGGGACGCTCTTACTCAAGCTGCCGATTTGTCTGGTTGGCCTTGTAGCGTCAATAGGTAACTACATATTTATGATTTTCCTCTTATCATTCTCTTCCATCCCTGGGGCTAAATTAAATCAATCTTTGAGGCATTTAATGGAAGTTACGCTGATGATCATAAAGAGAATAGCTTCTCTTGTACACTACGCTTAACCAGTCCACCGGGTCCATCAACTTTACTGTTATGATATTTTAATCTAAATCCCTATCTCACTATGGTAATGACGGTGCATTCGTAGCCATAAGATGAAGCTGGAACTTTATATATATCTAGTTATGTCATCTAGTATAAGTAATATTTCTTGAAAAATATTCTAAAAATTTTAAAAATTGGCAAATCTTCATAGTTACATGTCATTAGGAATAGTTGAAAATTTGAAATGAACAGATAATGTGGTGCTAAATTTGGCGCCTCTTTATTTTTTCAATGGTGTGTAGGGATGAAGCGGAGCTAATTAAAGAAATAGTGAATTGTGTCATACAAAAGTTGGGCCCTAGGTATCAAAGTGAAGATTATCTAAAAGGCTTGATTGGAATTCACGAAAGAATGGCAGATGTAGAATCCTTGTTGGACAAAGGTTCAAAAATTGGTGGTTGCCAATTCATTGGAATTTGGGGGATGGGCGGTTTGGGCAAAACAACTCTTGCAAAAGCATTGTTTAACAAATTGCGTTTTACATATGAAGGGTCTTGCCTTTTGACTAATGTAAGGGAAGAATCAAAGAGACACGGAATGGATGCTTTGAGGGAAAAAGTTGTTCGGGGGTTATTAGGGGATAAAGAATCTCACATTGGCAATGCAATATGTCCTTATACCGTCAGTACGCTTGGTCGGAAAAAGGTTTTCATTGTGCTTGATGACGTCGATGATCTTACACATTTAGAAAAGTTAGTTGGAAGACATGAATTTGGATCAGGTAGTAAAATCTTGATAACAACCAGAGATAAGCAAACACTTGGTAATGAAGTGGATGATATATATGTGCTTCGTGGTTTGAATCCTGATGAAGCTTTTGATCTATTCTCCATCAATGCCTTTAGAAATGGCTATGTTGACCCAAAGATAAGAGAGCTAGCAGAAGAAGTGACTAAATATGCAGGTGGAAATCCATTGGCTCTAAAGGTTCTGGGCTCCATCTTGCGTGGCAAAAATCAAGAAGCATGGAAAAGCCAATTGGCAAAGCTTCAAAAATTGTTTTGTCCACAAGTCATTGATATCCTCAGATTGAGTTTTGAAGGACTTGATAAGGAAGAGAAAAATATTGCCTTGCACGTCGCATGTTTTTTCAATTATTATTATGATGCTGAGGATGTAAAAAAATTGTTAGATGCATGCGGTTATTCAACCGAGATTGGATTGGCGAGACTTGAGGAAAAAGCCCTTTTAGATATTGATAGAGGACGAATATATATGCACAGTCTAATAAAACAAATGGGTAAACAAATTGTCCGTGAAGAATCATTAAATTATCCTACATGGTGCAACATATTTTGGATTTTCAAGGAAAGTTCTGATATATTGAAGAAAAATATGGTAAGCATGAAATTTCTACATTTATTTATTAAAAAGATTGTTGAATTCCAAATTCCTATTTGACGTATATAATATTTTTATTACTATTATAATTTTTTTGTTTGTTAGGGACGTATTGAAGGCATGGTTATTAGCCTTTCAGAAGTTGAAGAGATGTGCGTAATTATTAAAGCATTTGATTCAATGCCCAATCTAAAGCTGCTTAAGGTTTATGGAGATTTGAATGGACAGCTTAGGAACAAGTTAAATGCTTCTTGTATGAAGTTTCTGTCAAAAAAACTCATGCTACTGGATTGGGTGGGATGCCCTTTCGAGTCCTTGCCAGCGACATTTAAGGCTGAAAGTCTTGTTCGATTGAAAATGCCCGGCAGCAAATTGACAAGACTTTGGGATGGAGTGCAGGTGAATTTTATATTTTTTCTTACAAAATATTGTTAACACATCAGTTGGAAAATCTGTATTAAATACGCTCCGCTCAGCCGTTTTTATAAGGTCCAGATAAAATCTCTTACAAAATTCAATGAAATATTGATAACCCATTCTAAATAAATGCCTTCGTCTTTCACCCTCACACTAAGCTCCATGCCCTTTACTTATAAAGATTACTATCTCTGTTGAACTATAAGCATCAAATCTTTGAAGCCTTTTTTTTTTTTTTAATAAGTTATAATTTGGATTTACCTAATCATTAAATACATCATTTTTTTTTGTGAGATACATCATTTTTATTTTTTACTTTTAATTGATTATATATCTTTCTAATTCTTTTTTTTTTCAACTCATTCTCTCATATCTCTTTTTCTACATATTTTTTCTCTCACTTATCCTCTTCATAAACAAACATGTTTTAAGAAAATAAATTACATTTTCTTTTATTATTTTTAACTAATTTTAATCAAATTATGTGATGTAGTTATTTGGTATCTTCAATCGGAGGGAGTATTGATTAAGATTATGAAAAGTTGTAAAATTTAAGTCGTTGACAATAGCTAATTTCAACTTATTTTCTCAGCAAAACAGGCAGCGAAACCTTATAAAAAGGAATAGATAAGTAATTTAATTTGGTTTTGGCCACCAATCTTATCATGTAATTTATGCTTTTACAGAATCTTCGGAACTTAATCGCAATTACGCTCACTGGTTCAACAAACTTGATTGAACTCCCAGATTTTTCCAAGGCCACACGTCTTAAATATGTTGATCTCATGTTCTGTACAAAATTGCGGAGTGTTCATCCATCTATTTTATCTCTCCCCAGCCTGCATAGTTTATGGCTACGCCGTTGCAAGTCCCTTACCAGCCTTACAAGCGATACCCCTCTCCAATCTCTCAGTCGGCTCGATGTAAGTTATTGCTCAAGTCTGGAGGAATTTTCAGTAACCTCAGAAAATGAAGAGCTCTGTTCACACCTTTCAGGAGCTGCCATCAGAGGTGCGTTGCGCTCATCAAGTGGGCATCGCAGCAAAATTCGTGACTTAGCTATAGCCAATTGCGGAAATGTGACAAGCGTTCACGAATTGATTGAGCTGCGTGACCTTCGAGGTGTTGATGCTGGAGGCTGTAATGAGCTAGCGTCACCTCTCCTGTCCAAGTGTGATAAGATGGGTGCTTTGGAAAGACTCGGGCTTCCGTATTGCAATGAATTATCTGAACTTCCTAATGACATCAGGTTGCTGTCATCATTACGTGACTTAGATCTCTCACTGACTAATGTACAGACCTTGCCTTCGAGCATCAAACATCTTTCACGCCTGCAACGTCTTGAACTGCATGGATGTAAAAGGCTTCGTTGTCTACCAGAGCTCCCTCCCTCTGTCTTTCAATTGTTTGCAACTGACTGCATATCCCTTGAGACCATACAATATTCACCTTTGACAAACGAAGGTGAAGAAGGAAAAGAGAAGGCATATGCACGCTTTATATTCACAAATTGCAAGAAGCTGAATCGACGGGCAATCGAAGCTGCTGAGGCAAGAGTGCTACTTGCGATAAAGAAACCCACTTATGACGATGCTATATTGTTATATCCAGGAAAAATAGTTCCAAAGTGGTTCAAGTTTAAGAGTACTGAAGAGGATCCCATGACTGTGAATCTCAGTTCGATTCCAAATTCTGAGGATGGGGGATTCCTTTTTTGCGTCGTCTTTTCTAAATTACCATTAGAGGGGGGAGGAGAAATTGATGCCAAATGGCTTATTGATGGTAAATATGCTTGCAGGGCCGCTAAAAGCCCGTTTTACTTGTATGGGCAGTCCTCAAAGCATGTTGGTCTTTGGTATGATCCTGATTCACTTGGAGAACTAAAAAGGAAAATTGAAGAAAGGAAAAGAAATGGTCAGAGCAACATGGAGCTTAAAGTTAAATTCGAAGCTCGTTGGTATGATGACAGAACGGCAGAGATCAAAAGGTGTGGAGTATGCCCAGCATCTGCAGTTGAATATCAAGATGGTGACATTAAACAAATTCAATTGCCATGGCCTCCTCAGCCTAGCTCTAATGCAATGGAAGCGGCCTCTCTCTCTCGAAAGCGCAAATGCACTATAACTTCATACGGATCAAAAGGTGACATTCGTTCGGATGATGACAGAATGGTAAAGATCAGAAGGTGCGGGGTATGCCCGATATCTGCGGATGAATATCAAAATGGTGACATTAAACAAAATCAATTGCCATTGCCTCCTCAGCCTGGCTCTAATGCAATGGAAGCGGCCTCTCTCTCTCTCGAAAGCGCAAATACCACAGCTTGCTTCGATGAATTTGAAGAAATGATTGAGTTTTAAAGCTCTCAGGTTGAATTGATCTAAACACTATAACTTCATACATCACTCTCGTGCATCCACCTCAAAATGGTATACTCTGGTTTTAATTAGTAGTTATAGACATGATTTTTGTATGTTTGTACGTACTAATTACCGCATATAATTAATTTAACATTTTTTTTCTATTGAGATTTGATTCTATTCTTGAGGTCTGAGGAGTCCAAATTGCATTGCTGATCTTAACCTTTCTTTATTGTTTTAAGCTAAGATGATGGGAGTGACGATTACATTCGACTATTGACCTCGGCATATTACGGCCACGACTTTCTTTCTGTTGGATCTTGAAGAGTTGGATTCAACTGGACATTAAGGTAATTACTTCTTAACCAAGCAGATTGAGAAAGAAAATGCGAATTCACCTCCTATGTGCAAATATGTTTTGTCTCCATTTACCTCATTGCTGCATCTTCTCTGATGGTCAAAGAAATATATGGAGCTTGAGGTTGAGGAAGCCATTGAAGGAGTTTGCAGACATAAGAAATAGATGTGAGCTTGATTTGTTTTCTGTTATAGAATGAACCAACTTTATAAAATCAGTTCAATAGATTGAAAGCCTTCTCCTGTAGTGTCTTTGGTCATCGGCGTCGATGATTCGCTGGTCGCCGCCGCGGTCATTGTCAATATGTCACCTTTTTGTTCTGCTTCCTGATTACATATGTTAATACATGTCATTTAAGGACTTGCCTGGTATTTGGTAATGCTGTTGCAGGCTGTGCTTGGTTCGGCTGGTGTCTCATTATATGGCAGATGGCTTTGGCACCGTCTAAAAGTGACGCTATTAATACTGAAGCAGAGCCTGATCACATGAGGAAGTAGGAATGAATCATTTGTCTCAATAATAGGGACAAGGATCGCGAAGAACTTGAAACCAGTGGAGGCGAAGAAGATTATGACCCACCCAATTCTCTTAAGACACTTGAGTATCCACCCGTAGCAATTGGTTGTGATTATGGATCTGTGCAAATATATGCTAATTCAGGTGTGTGCTATTTGCATACTCTGATCTAAAGTTCTTAATTGCCTTTTTGATACAAATCTCTATATCAGCTCCGCTTAGTTCTTAATTCTTTTTCCTATCTCTTGGAATTATCTGAAGTTCTGAAGGTTCCTTTTCATTTTGATCTGCGACACTGGGTCTTTTTTCCCTTGCGTAAATCTGTCAATGAGGATTTTCTTGGCACAAAGGGCCTCTAATCTTCGCTTATGGTTTGAATGAGTCTCTTTCTTTAAGTACTCTGTTGAAAATTAAGTGTTCTTGTGCATCTTCTCCCCCTTCTTTAATCTTCTTGGACTTGTTTGGTTCTGTTTTTTGTTTTCCTATTCCCAAAATAATTTTATGAAATTGTTTTTTTAAAAACAATTTTTGAGAATAAAAAAAAGCAAAAATTTGTTTGGATAATTATTTTAAAAATTTATATTTGAAAAAGAAAATATAAAAAAATCATATTTGGTAAGTGGTGACCATGGTAGATAAGAAAAAAAGAAGGTTTCTCCAATAATTCAAAATAAAAAAAATACAAAAATACAAAAAAAAAATCTAAAAGTTGTTTTTATTTTTTTAGTTTTTTTTAAAAGCATATTACTGTTTGTTTCTAATTTTTTAAAACAACCAACTAAAAACAAATTGTCAAGCAACTTTTTTCCCCCCTCAAATTATTCCCTCACTTCAATTTCATTGGTTCTCTCAACCAAACAGCCAAAACATTCCATTTTCTTTGGATTACAGGTTACAACAATACATTTTCTTCAATAAATGATAGGTTAGAGTCTCGTGTTTGACTATACTCTTCCTTTCTAAAATATGAGTCTCAGTATTCAGATTTGTTTTAATCTTAGTTTCATGTCTTCGAAAATTTAGTCTCTAAGTTCATGTAACTTCACTTTATTTTTTAATTAGGTCTTTGCACTTTTTTGTCCGGATAGGTTTTTTAATTATGGGCATTAGTTTCTAATCTCATACATAACTGGTATGGATTCTGCCACAAAATAAAAAATAAAAAAGGATTTTTAAAGATAAAATGATGAACTAGATTTATTTATTTGTTACTAACATAATAAGATATTATTATCCATAAAGTTGTCTCTCTACAATTATATTTAATGTATAATTTGGGTGATTTTGATTTTATTTACATCTATGTGACAAATTTAATTAATCCAAGTATATGCTGAAATTCCTAACCTTATTTCTCTTGCAAATTGACAACTTGTAAGTACGGGAACCAATACCTATAATTAAAAAAAAAAAAGGTAAGAACCTAATAAAAAAAAATTACGAAGGCCTGATTAAAAACCAAGTAACTATAGAGATTTATGAACTAGTTTTCCCTAAATCTTAATCACGAAGTATCGAGTTTCATTTTAGATTATTTATCCGCCTTCAATATTTCTTTCTTTTTTCTTTTTGTTTTTGGTGAGCAGCAGGGTATCCCAATTTCAACACAAATTCCGCTCTTTCAAGAACTCGCATGCGTAATCATTGAGAACTAACATGCGTGCCGACTTATTTTCGTGACTGACGAGTCAAAAGTAGCTTTAATTAACATGCATTGGTTGCTTTATTTTTTTGGGTATTTGCATGCATGTGTCCTTACTCAATTATTTAATTTGCTCCGCACGTGATGTGCGTAGGGGGTGAGGCTCACCGAAAGTGCTAGGTTAATTTCTTTTTCACCCCACTCATAACAGCACAGCAAAATTCCAACTTCCTGGGGTATCCCTTTTCTTTGAAATGCATGGCCCTGTTTGTTTAAATTAACTGCTGACTTCGGTTTTTCATACTTGTCTGATCTTAAATATAAAATTTATTTTGTAGTATAATTCATACTACAAAATAAGTCTTATATTTAAAATCGGAAAAATATAAGAATAGGTTAACTAATTTAAATAGATTAAAAAAATTAATTAAATTAGTTATTTGTAATAAGTAGATGGTATTTTTTCCTTCCAAAATGTCCTTGTTGATCAAATGTAGTAGTTATAACTACTATTATTATAAAGACTACTTTGAGAAAAATAAAAAAATATAAAAGGAAAATCAGATTATTAGGACTTATATTTAGAATTAAAATAAAAGTCAAACATTAAAATTACATTAAACCAATTCAATCGGCATCACTGCATCCGCAACCTAACTCTAATGCAATGGGATCGATGTGACAGTCACAACCTAATTCAAAGGGAATCAAAGTAGGCTGCTCCTGTGACATGGAAGAATAGAACGCGGGGCTTGAAAGATATTATGTTTTCACGATGTTATGTTCAGATTTCGTTTTTCTTGGTGGATTCAAGCGAAAGTTCAGGTGATTTGTTTTTCTTCTATTTTCCTTGATGTTCAAAATGAGCTTATCCCCGTGTTGTGCTACTTACCTGCTAGTAGTTTAGGAAGTTTTATGGAAATTTAATCCCTGTAATGTCCAGTTGGTGGAAATGCACGGGTTGGGCAAGTTAAGTTGCGTATTTAAGCTTCCCTTCCCTTTTATCCGAAATGGAATGCATTGCAACCTAATGTTAATTACCGTGGGTGTGTTTGGCACACTTTTAAGAAGGCATTGAATTATTTTCCAAATAAAAAATGAAAAGACCAAAATATCCCTGGCAATTACAAAAAATCCTCTTTTGCAACCTTATCAGAGAAAACAGTGCCTTTGTCTTTTACTTCAACAGAGCATTCGCACTTGGGTCACTGCATTAACAGCAGACATCACACAGCAGCAGTTTTCTCCAAAGCGCAAGTATCTCAGCTTTATCTTTCGCGGACTTTGAGTTACCTTCACTTGTGACAGAGGATCTATTTTCAGGACCAATTTTGCTGTGTTCACTTCTTTTTTTTTAAAAAAAATGTATTCTGTGTAAGCATCATCATTTTTGTATATTAGTGATATGCAGTGCAGCCTATGCATTCAAATTGTAAGTGCTGATTCTACGTGTCTTCCTCTCCATCTCCTATTTTCAGGCTTGTGGCCTTTTTGAATAATTACAAAAATAAAGACTGAGAAATTTCAGGGAATGCATTATCATACAACGAAATGGGAAGCAAGAAGTGAGAGACAGAACAGAGCCTAGAGCCTCTTAGAGCCCCACAAACAAAAAATCTAAAAAGGAAGGCAAAAAACAAAACGATGCATGTTCTCTCTCTGTTTTTTTTTTCTTGATTGCCATTCCGAAAAGTTACGACACATTTTCTTCAATAAAGGAGTGTATTTGACTACTCTCCATGTCTCTAAACATAAGTCCTAGTTTTTAGATTTGTTTTGGCTCCGTATAATTTCTCGAAAGGGAAACAAGTGATAAAATTGAAAGATTAGTGGCAAATAAGTGGTCTAAATGAAGTGCTTGCAATTTTATCCTCTCTCAGAAGCCGGCAAGCTTGACGATGCACAGGAAACTGAGAAATAAAAGCCAAAGAGCAATGTCAAAGCTTAAAGAGACAAAGGTTGAAAACATCATTTTGTGCTATAAAGTAATTCAATCCTCATTCCGTGTTTATTGCTCACACCATCCTCTACGCGCAATTGACTTGCTTTTTGGGTTGACTCCGGTATGTACGTTTAAAATATATCAACTAATTTTAATTGATTTTAATTGTCATTACCCAAAATCTAAAACAAAATTAAATTTAGACACAAAAACCGTCTAATCTTAGTGATTCATTAGCCCTGCCTAGGGGAAAAAAACACTATTGTGCCCAATTCTAAATATAAGAGTTGTACAACAAATTTAGAAATATTAAGAATATTAGTTAAATTAACTATTAATAATAAATACGTATTAGCTATTTTAAAATATCCCGTTCTAGTCATTACCTTATTAATGAATAATCCTTTTCATATATACAATAAATAGGGATAGTTTGCCAAAAAAAAGGGGATAATTTAGGAAAAATTATAAATTTGAAAGATAAAAAGTAGATTAAAATTTTATATATGAAACCAAAACAAATATTTCAGCTAACTTTTATATTTAGGACAGAAGTGAGTACAATGACATGCACCTTATCTAAATAAATCTTTTTCTGTTGTTTTTTAATTTGTCAAAGCTAAACAAAATTCAAAAATGGAAATCAAACAAGCCCTTTAATGATGGCTTGTTTGATTAAAAAGGAGAGGAAATGAGAGCTGATAATAATAAAAAATGTCAATACTTGCACATTTGAATGTTAAAACTTTAAAACTTTAATGCTTACTAGCTCTCCTCTGCATTTCATTTTAAAAGTTATACAAAATCTTACATATTATACATTATTATTTGTCAAAGAAAATAATTATTTATTCAATTTTATATTTCTAAAAGAGAAGACGCATCATATATGGTAGAACTCGAGAAAAGGAGCAGAACACAAATGAGAGAGGCGTAATCATAGGGCTTTATTAAACCAAATTTCGTTAATTAGGAAACTTGATAGGTATATTTCCTTGGAAATTTTCTTTCTTTGTCCCCCCCTCACTTGACGAGCCCTTGGGAAATTTGAGTAAGCTTCGGTGAAGGTCTCAGAGAAATTTGACCAGGATTTCGGTGAATTTGCTTTCTCTCTGTACCGTGTTTTGCATTTAATGCTGTCTTTGAAATTTGAGATTCAATCCCTGTGAAAGTTCCCAGAAGTCACCCGGAAGCCAACTTTTTGTAAATTTCTAAAAGTGCTTTTATTTATTATAATTTATATTTATAATTATTTATTATTCAGTATGTTCCATTTTCATTGACTTGGTTGACCCAGCCTATTCCATTAAATCATTCTTAGATCCGAATTAAAGGCAGTCCCAATTATATCTTTTTGGCGCATCGTAACAAACAATCTATAATAAACGAGAAGAAATAATACTCTGTCCTGTATATCAGTTTCATTTTAAGGAAAAGATCTAATTCAAAATAAAAGTTTTATTTTTGATTTTGTTTAAGTATTGTTATAAATAAAAAAGAAATAGAGAAGAATAATAGAGAGAAAGATATGATTAATAAAAAAGAGAATTTTTCATTCCATTTCATACTACTCAATACATTATACATAGCGTTTATTTATAAGTGGTACGGCCAAAACCTAATTCAGTGGGAATCAAAGTAGGCTGCTCCTGTGACCACACCAATGACAAACAAGTGGTTCCTAGGAAATCCAAGGATTTTGCCTTCCCAAGCCCATAAGCTGTGACATGGAAGAATAGAACACGGGGCTTGAAAGATTTTATGTTTTAGTATGTTATGTTCAGATTTCCTTTTTCATGGTGGATTCAATAAAAAGTTCAGGTGATTTGTTTTCCCTCTATCTTCCTTGATATTCAAAATGAGCTTATCGTCGTGTTGTGCTACTTACCTGCTATTAGTTCAAGAAGTTTTATGCAAATTTAGTCCTTGTAAAGATCAGTTGTTGGAAATGCAGAGGTTGGGCAAGTTAAGTTGCGCATTAAAGCTTCCCTTTTATCCGGTGTGGAATGCGTTGGAATGTAATCTTAATTACCATGGGTGTGTTTGTTTGGTATACTTCTAAGAAAAAATTCATAGAATTATTTATTTCAAATAAATAATGAAAAGACCAAAATATCCCTCGCAATTACAAAAAATCATTCTTTGCAATCTTCCCAAACAGAGAAAACAGTGCTTTTATCTTTTTACATCAACAGAGCATTCGCACTTGGGTCACTGCATTAACAACAGACATCACACAGCAGCAGTTTTCTCCAAAGCACAAATATCTCACCTTTATCTTTCCCGGACCCTGTGTTACCTTCACTTGTGACAGAGGATCTATTTTCAGGACCAATGTGCAGTGTTTACTCTTTTTTTTTTGTGGGTATAATTAAGCATTATCATTTTGTATATTAGTGAAATGCAGCCTATCCTTTTAAATTGTAAGTTCTGGTTCTACGTGTGCTCCTGACTCTCCATCTCCTATTTAAAATTATTTTAAGATATTAGGTGTTACTAAATAATATTTCAAGATGTTGGGTGCGATTGACACTGCGTCTTCAACTTTCAACTGCTCTCTCCTCTTTCAAATCCCAACCTTTGATGCGAACTAAGCATCTTCGGCTGTGAAGAGATTATTCACGTTTTAAGCTCCGAAAGGGACAGCTCACCTCAATGACGAATGAAGCTAAAATAACAGATACCAATACATTAAATTAATGAAAGAAAAGGGTGAGGCTCTATAATGAAAACGAAGCTCTCTGGGTGCATGCACACATGACGAGAAACTTTGTAGCTAACTTTATCTTGTCTTGGAAAGAACATGGCTGATATAAATCAAAGAATGACGAGAGGATGAAAAAGGAAGGGACAGGATATGGAGGAAGAAGAGTCATTCGGGTACATGAACGGCAAAGCTATTCTTGGCTTTGGGGTTCTATCTCCACAACAACGCCCAATACTGGAATGACCACGTACGGAGATTCCGCGTTTGTGCCGTCGAATGGCTTGGACCAGGAAGGGAGGAGGACAAAGCAACTGAATGTTGAAGACGCTGGCTGTGTTAGTCGCAGTCAGCGAATGGAGGCTGTGTTTCGAATGGCTCGGACTAGGAAGTGAGCATGGGCCTGATGATGTGGTGCACTGTGAGCCTTTGGATCATGTGAACAGATAGGATGTTAAGATACTGAGAGACGCTGATAAAAACGCTTCTGAGGGGATCTGGATCCGTATTAGTTGTTGGCCATCTTCCATATATGTTTTTATGTGTATTTAGAAGAACTGAGACTTATAATTAGGGAGAGTATTTGATTGGAGACCCCCCCTTTTTTATTTTCTTCACTCTTGTTTTCACTGCTTTCAAATTGTGAATACATTTAAGTCCGTTTAACGACGAAAGGATACTGGAATGAACAAATCTTACTCAAGCTAAAATCAACCGGCCTCTGTTATTATTTTCTCTCTCTTCTTCTTCTTCTTTTTTTTTTTTTTTGAGTTACAGCTCTTACCCAACACGCAGAGTGATCAACATAAAACTTATGAAATTTATAATAAACTATAAGTATTAACAAATAAATATTCCAATCAAACTAAGAAAAAGCAAATCAAGGTTCTTATAGAGCTCCAATAATGGGAGATATATTCATATGTACTTTTTGAATTTTGAATTATATAACGTCTTCTTTAGTTTAATCAATAACTCTTAAAGTCTAAATGTAAGAAAAATATTGGGAAAAAACACATACAGGATATATATATATATATATACCCCTTCGGTTTTAAATATAAACTCATTTTATAATGTAAAGGATATTTTTTTTTTAGTTCTAAATATAAAACTCTTGTAGTGTAATTTACATTACAAAATGAGTATTTAAACTACAAAATGAGTTTTATATTTATGACCGGACGAGAATATATATATATATATATCTAGTTGTGTGTGAATTTTCTACTTTAATTTCTCTCCGCTTATTTTTTTGCTAAAAAAAAATTTCTCTCCGCTTATTTAGTCATTTCACAGGAGCTTCTCTCTCACTGTCACCCGCTATCCGTACCAGTGGAAACATTTACAGAAACTTTTTGGGTTGACTTCGGTATACACATCTAAAATGCATCATCGTTAATAATTTTTTTTCTTTTTACATTCAGTTAATTACATGTATCATATTTTTAATTTTTGCAATAAATAGAGATAGTTGAAGAATAATTTATGAATTTAAAAAATAAAGTAGATTAAAATTTTGTAGGTAAAATCAAAGCAAATATTCCAACCAAGTAGGATAGAAAAAAGTACAATAATATGCATTTTACCCAGCCAAGCTTTTGGTAGAGGCTAAAAAAGGTTCAAAAATGGAAATCAAACGATGCTTGATGTTCGCTTGTTTGATTAAAAAGGAGAGGAAATAAGAGATAATAATAATCTAAAATGCCAAAACTTGCACATCATTGGCTAAATGCCTCAAATAATCAATTAAAAAATTATTTTTACGTTTTATGAATTAAAATTATTCTCACGCAACACAAAATGTTTTAAAATAAGGGAATTCGAACCACCATTGGACTCGTTTTGCCGACAGGTCATTTAGGAGCGATTTTCTTTTAACTTTTGGTGACGCAATTACTTTCAGTAAGGAATGAAGGCTAAGGTACACAATTAAAACCAAGTTATAGGTTATCTATTTTCAGGTTTTGCTTGCTTTTGTATCTTTGGAAAAGAAATTAGGTTATTTTATTTTGTTTAATACAAATGAAACGCATGCTCAATCGAACATGTCAACAACAAATTTGAGTTTAAAAACTCATTCAAACATAATAAATGACAACCAATGAATTATGTAAATAAAAAGTTACTTAAAATTAATTAAATATTATATATGAAGTATGATGTAAATAATTATTTAGGATGTATTTAGATTAGTAATGATAAAAACTGACTTTTATTCCATATGACTTTTACAAAACCAAAGTCAGTGTAATGTGATCTATGTTTGGATTGGTTTGTTATAAAAGTCAGTTTGCTAATTGAAACTTGTTTAAATAAATAATAGAAAAATAAGTTTACATGTAAAATAACTAAAAAAATCATGAATTTTAAACATGTCTCATACATATAGTTTAATAAATATAAGAAAAATAATAAATAAATAAATAAAATTATAAAATAAAAAGAGTTAATACATTATTAAAAAAAAGTTATTACTAACATCAATTTTTTATGTCAAATTCTCCGATCACACATGACCACGTGACCAAATTATTGGGTTAATATAGGATCCACTTAAATATTATTGTATTTTTAATCCTCATTTTGTTCTCTCTCCATGTTACAAACTAAAAAAGCTCAAATTTTTAGCTTAGCTCACTGGAAAAAAAGTTTACCCAAACAAAGTACTAGTAAGTTTACCCAAACAAAGTACTCCTCCGATCCTTAATATATGACTTAATTGTTGAGTTGGCTTTTGGTCCTAAATATAAGACCCATTTATCATATTTATCATTTTTCTCTAAATTACCCCTATAGATACTCCTGTAACCATAATCAAGTAGGAGAGGAAGAGTGGGGTATTAAGAAAAATGATTATGGTATTTTAGGACAAACGTGTCACATTTTTATAATTAACTAACTTATCTAACTTCCTTAATCTAATCAAATTAGTTAAAGTGTCTTACATTAAGGATATGAGGAGTACCAGCATAAGTGTTTAATAGCCAAGACACGATTGTTGGTTTAACGCCCAACAAATAGAGCGAGGTTCCGCCATTCTCACTGTCATGCGCAATGGACTGACTGGCTTTTTGGTCTATCAAGAGCAGAGGAAAGAGGGCTAATAATAAATATAATCAAAAATTGTCAAAACGTGCAGTTTTGAAATGTTAAAACTCTAATGCTTACTGGCTCTGGCTTTCACTTTAAGGTTTTGATAATATATGTTTTTTTTTCAAGAAAATAAGTATTCGTTCATCTTATATACCTAGAGGCGAAGAGTACTAAACATGCCACACAAGTAAGAGAGGCCGTAATTATAGTGCTTTATTAAACCAAATTTCATCAGGACATTTTACGGCAGGCGTTTATATTTTCCTGGGAAATTCGATTTTCTTTTTCCTTGGACGAACCCTTGAAAGTTTGATTAAAGCTTTGGGTGAAGGTCAAAATATTTGATCACCGTTTCGGAGGAAAGTGTCGGTGGAATTTCCTTACTCCCTGTACTATGTTTTTCATTTAGTATTGTCTTTTCCACACCACATGAGCCAAAAAAAATCAAATAAAACGAGATAAAATAGACATACATAATTTATAAAATTTCTCTTTTTTTTCCTGGGAAATTCGATTTTCTTTTTCCTTTTGGACGAACCCTTGGAAAGTTTGATTAAAGCTTTGGGTGAAGGTCTCAAAGATATTTGATCACGTTTCGGAGAAAGTGTCGGTGGAATTTCCTTACTCCCTGTACTATGTTTTTCATTTAGTATTGTCTTTTCCACACACATGAGCCAAAAAAATCAAATAAAACGAGATAAAATAGACATACATAATTTATAAAAATTTCTCTTTTTTTTACCAGCATTAAAATGGCAAATAAAGACTCCCAGTATGTGAAATTGTGATTTGGGATCTTTAATTTAGAAAATAACAAATAAAGACCTGATGTCATATTATAAAATAATTAAGGTGAGTTAAGTCTCAGAGACTTATCAGGATCATGATATATTTTCAGACTAAGAAAATATTTACATAAATATTTATATATTATCTACTAACAAAATCCTTCCATCGGGATTAAAACTCATAACTTTATGAGTCATGAATCAACCCCGCCGTCAACTATCATGGGTGAGACCTCACTTGACCCGAATTCACTTGCGCATTAAAGCACGCTACACTTTTGAGAACATGAAGCCAATAACTATACGCGTCGGTTGAGTCATATGCCAAAAAGCCAACAAAGAGATTCCATTTCCATAGGCAGATTGACTATCTCCGCATGAAAGTCAAAAGTAGCTTTATTCTACTTTTTTGTTTATTTGTTTGTTTTGCGAACTTCCTGCAAGCTTCGCAAGCATTAACTTATTATGTCTTAAAACCCTTTTTTTTTTCCTTTTTTTCCCACTCTTACCCTCAATTTACACTTTGCATTTTCTCAACTTCAATCCAAGGTGGGCTAGGTCATATTTTTTTTAGTAAAAATATAAATGTCATTCATCAAGAAGAAAAACTATATGACAATAGACTGGCACGACAAAAAGTGCTGAGTTATTTTATTATTCATAAGGGGTATTTTATATTAAACATTATTTAACATCATTCCTCAAAATGAGACATATGACTATTTATGAGGCTCCACCATTCTCACTGTCACACGCAATCCGTACTTATTCCTCTTGTTTTTTACTCACAGTCACACCCTTCTCTACTCTAATGCTTATTAGCTCTGTCTTTCATGTTAAATGTTTTGATAATATATGTTACCCTCCTGTCTTAAATATAAGACCTTTATATTATTATACTAATATGTATAAGGGTCTTATATTTAGGATTTATATTATTTTAGAGAAAATAAGTATTTGTTCAACCTCATATATTCTAGAGGCGAACACTAAACATGCAACACAAATAAGAGTAGAGGTGTAATTATAGTGCTTTATTAATCCAAATTTCATCAGGACACTTCACCGCAGGCGTTTCTGCTTTCCTGGGAAATTTGATTTTCTTTTTCTTTTTGGACCAGCCCTTAGAAAATTTGATTTAAAGTTTGGGTGAAGGTCTCAAAGATATTTGATCAACATTTCGGAGAAAGTGTCAGTGGAATTTCCTTTCTGTACTGTGGTTTCATTTAATGCGGTCTTTTCCACACACTACTATAATTCGGTAGGACCTCCTTTCTTTGAAATTTTCAAATTTGAGAATCATGTCATGCGAAGCTTCTCAAAAGTCACACGTTTGGAAGCTGTATTATAATAAATCTTTTAAAAGTTAGCTTTGCTTTTATTTATAATTTATTATGATTATTTATTATTCAATTGTTCCATCTTTCATTGACTTGGTTGACTCAATCAATCCCCTAAAATTTTATATATTTATATATTCCTCTTAGGCCGGTTTGGTTTCCTATTGCCAATCATTCTTAGATCTGAATGAAAGCACTCCCAATTCTGTTTTGCATATAGTAGCAAAGCAATCTGATATGGCTTTTCTATAGAGTGGATCCTTCACATGTGAGGAAGCAGTCTGGGAGTTACAAGAAACAAGAAAGCATTTGAAGAACATGAGTGCAAAATAAACATCAACAATCAACAACTGCAAAAGTGGAGGGAGGCTCTTACTCAAGCTGCCAATTTGTCTGGTTGGCATTGTGGCTTCAATAGGTAACTACATATTTATGATCTTCCTCTTATCATTTTCTCATGCCTCCATGCCTCGGGCTAAAGTAAATCAATCTTTGAGGCATTTAATGGAAATTACGCTGATGATCATAAAGAGAATAGCTTCTCTTGTACACTATGCTTAATCACTTCACTGGGTCCATCAACTTTACTGTTATGATATTTTGATCCAAATCCCTGTCTCCCTATGGTTATGACGATGCATTCGTGGCCATAAAATGAAGCTGGAATTTTGTATATATCTAGTTATGTCATCTAATATAAGAAACATTTCTCCAAAAAATATTATAAGAAATTTTAAAAATTGGCAAATCTTCATAGTTACTTGTCGTTAGGAATAGTTCAAAATTTGAACTTAATAGATAATGTGGTATTAAATTTGGTGCCTCTTTATTTTTTCAATGATGTGTAGGAATGAAGCGGAGCTAATTGAAGAAATAGTGAATCGTGTCATACAAAAGTTGGGCCCTAGTTATCAAAGTGAAGATTATCTCGAAGGCTTGATTGGAATTCACAAAAGAATGGCAGTTGTAGAATCATTGTTGGACAAAGGTTCAAACAATAGTGGTTGCCAATTCATTGGAATTTGGGGGATGGGCGGTTTGGGCAAAACAACTCTTGCAAAAGCATTGTTTAACAAATTGCATTTTACATATGAAGGGTCTTGCTTTTTGGCTAATGTAAGGGAAGAATCAAAGAGATATGGAATAGATGCTTTGAGGGAAAAAATTGTTTGGAGGTTATTAGGGGATAAAGAATCTCACATTGGCAATACAATACATCCTTATACCATCAGTAGGCTTGGTCGGAAAAAGGTTTTCATTGTGCTTGATGATGTTGATGATGTTGAACAATTAGAAAATTTAGTTGGAAGACATGAATTTGGATCAGGAAGTAAAATCTTGATAACAACCAGAGATAGGCAAGTGCTTGCTGGTATAAAAGTGGTCGATGTATATGTGCTTGATCGTTTGAATCCTTTTGAAGCTTTTGATCTATTCTCCATCAATGCTTTTAGAAATGACTATGCTGACTTGAAGATAAGAAAGCTAGCACAACAAGTGACTCAATATGCGGATGGAAATCCATTGGCCCTAAAGGTTTTTGCCGCCTTGTTACGTGGCAAAAATCAGGAGGCATGGAAAAACCAATTGGAAAAGCTTCAAAAATTACCTCTTCCAGAAATTAATCATATTCTCAGATTGAGTTTTGAAGAACTTGATGAGGAAACGAAAAATATTTTCTTACATATCGCATGTTTTGTCAATTATTATCATTATGTCAAGGATGCAAAAAAATTCTTAGGTGCATGCGGTTATTCAATTGAGATTGGATTGAAGATTCTTGAAGATAAAGCTCTTTTAGATTTTTACGGAGGAATGATAGGTATGCACAATCTAATAGAAGAAATGGTAAACAAATTGTTCGTGAAGAATCATTAAAATATCCTACATGGTGCAAGATATTTTGGATTTTTGGGAGAAGTTCTGAAGTATTGAAGGAAAATAGGGTAAGAGTGCACTTTTTACATTATTTTATTAAAAAGATTATTGAATTTCAAATTCCTATTTGATTTATGTCATGTTTTTATTATTATTATTTTTCTGTTTATTAGGGAAGTATTGAAGGCTTGATTATCAACCGTTCAGAAGTTGAAGAGATGTGGGTAATTAATAAAGCCTTTCGTTCAATGCACAATCTGAAGTTTCTTAGGTTTTATGGAAATTTCAATAATCTAAATGCTTCTCGTATGGAGCGTTTGCCAAGAAAGCTCAGGCTATTGGATTGGGTGGGATGCCCTTTAGAGTCCTTGCCCACAACATTCAATGGTGAAAATCTCGTTGAAATAAAGATGAGCAACAACAATTTGACAAAACTTTGGGATGGAGAGCAGGTACATCTTATACTTTTTTTGCTCGTCAAATATTAGCAATACACTAGTTGGAAAAATTTTATTCTATATGCACTCTCTCTGCAGTATTATTTATAAGTTTTTGCCTATTGGTCCTTAAAATCTCTTAGGAAATTTAATAAAGGATTGACAATCCATTCTGGAAAATGCATTTCCCTTTTACCATCACACTACTATTTATATAGATTATTGAAGTGTAATTTTAGAAAAATTGTAATACTTTTTGGCATTACTAATTTTGTAAATAAAATTGATAACAAGGTCTTATTAAAAAAAGATAAGGCAGTAATTATTTTTATTTTTGCCTCCAATCTTACCGTGTAATTTATTTATTATTTTTTTTTACAGAATCTTGCGAATTTAAGCAGAATTGATCTTCATGGATCAAAAGATTTGATTAAGCTCCCAAATTTTTCCAAAGCCATACATCTTGCAGAAGTTCATCTTCAGGGTTGTTTAAAATTGCAAAATGTTCATCCATCTATTTTATCTCTCCATAGCCTTTGTCGTTTATTGCTAAATGACTGCAAAGCCCTTACCAGCCTTACGAGCAAGACCCATCTCAAATCACTGAGTGAATTGGACTTGACAGGATGCTCAGGACTACGTGAATTTTCAGTGACCTCAGAAAATAATCGGTTTCAATTGATGCTTTGCAGAACAGCCATCAATGGTGAGTTGTGCTCATCAAGCGGTTGTCTTAGCAAAATTGACTTTTTGGACCTCGAAAGTTGCGGAGGTGTGACAAGTCTTCACAAATTGTTTGCGATGCACACCCTTCGACGCCTTCATGCTGGTTATTGTAATAAGCTAGCATCAAATCTACGTTCCATATTTGATGAGGTGCCGCGTGCTTTGGGATCTCTATGGCTGGATAATTGTAGTAAATTATATGAAGTGCCTGACAACATCAGCTTCTTGTTGTCATTACATGAGTTGCGTCTCTCAAGGAGCAATATAGAGACCTTGCCTTTAAGCATCAAGCATCTTTCAAGCCTGCGGACTCTTTACTTAGATGGATGCGAAAGGCTTCGGTCTTTACCACAACTCCCTCCCTCTATCCGTACACTGAGCGCCAATGAATGCCTATCCCTTGAGACCTTACATTCACCTTTAATGAGTGAAGGTAGAGAAGGAAAACAATATTATGAATACTTCAATTTCATAAATTGTATGAAGTTGGATGGGCAGTCAATCAAAGCTGTTGAGGCCGTAGTGCTACTTGACATGAATGATAACCAAGCTGACAGAGCTAGTATGGAATATCCGGGAAAAAGTGTTGCAGAATGGTTCATGTATAGGACTACACAGTCTTTGGTGACTGTGGATCTCAGTTCGATTCCACAACCTTGGGATGGCGTTTTCATTTTCTGCGCCGTCATTCCTGCAGGAACACCACGGTCGAGTTTCATTGAAGCCAAATTGTTTATTGATGGTCATCAATGTGCTTCCGTGTTTGAAGGATCGTATTTGACTGATGGGTCCATGTTGTCTGATCATGTTTTTCTTTGGTACAATAGAAAGTCATGTGAAGAAGTACTAAGGAAAATTGAAGAAAAGAAAAGAGAAGCTCAAAGCAACACTTATCATCCATTGCTTCAAATTCAATTCGCACCTCGTGATGATGAAAAACCAGTAGAGATCAAAGAGTGTGGGGTGTGCCCGACATCTGCAGTTGAATATCAAAATTACATCAGACGAATTCAATTGGCATTATTGCATCCACATCGTAGCTCTAATGCAACGCAATCGGCCTCTCGAAAGCGCAAATATCACAGCTCACTTCCATGAATTTCATAACATGGTTTTTGAGTTTTAAAGGTCTCAAGTTCAATTCATCAGCCCACTACTTCAACTTCATTTACCACTCTCGGGCCTCCACCTCAAAATGGTATGCTCCGGTTTTAACTACTACTGATAGACATTTTTTTAAAATAATTTGTGCGTTCTGATTACCGCATCATTATGTTGTACCATTGGCATGCATATAATTACTTTAACATTTTTTATTGTTTGGATTCAACTGGACATTAAGGTGATTATTTCTTACTGCTAATATTTCATGATCACGGGAAATTAACTGAGCAGATTGAGAAATTAAAAAAGATTTATGGACATTGAGGAAGCCATTGAAGAAGCTTGCGAATATAAAGATCAAGTTCATCTTCGTACGCGAGTGAAGAAGCATCTGAAGAATATGAGAAGAACAAGAAACAACAGGTTCGATCTTTGAAAATTAATATCCTCTCATCTTTTCTTGTTCAGTCCTGATTCCTCCGATGGCTGCATCATTTCCATTTGGTGAGGCTGCATCAATTAAAGTCGTAAACTCATAATCAGCAGCCTAAAAAGTTTGATCTGGCTCCAGTCATCCGATCATCTTGCTTTCAAAAAAGGCTTTACAGCAGTTTTGGAAATATTTGCAAACCCACAAAGTTGCCTTTAATTAGAAATACCCTAAAATCTTAGCGTCTGTGAATAAAATTCTGATAAAGAACGAAATTCAAAACCAACAATGAAACACCAAGATTCATTAAAATTTAGAAGGGAATTAAGACTTATGAACAAATTAAAAGGCAAAATTAAAACAGAGGCAACATGTTCCAAACTACACCGCGGCCGTCATAGATAATATTATTGAAACTAATTATTTTGTTGTAACAGAGAAAAAGATACATTAAAATATAGTAAGATGGATATTTAGGTAATTGTGTAAAATTAATAATAATAATAACAACAACAACAAACAAAAAGGAAGAACTGCAAAACATAAAATTTTTTTAACCTATCAATATATGAAAATCCTTAAAAAAAAAAAAGAATGTTGGTATAATTGTTTTTTCCTTTTTTCAATAATTTTTAACTGTTACTTTTTTCAAAAAAGAAAAATTTATTATTAAAAAATTTTAAAATCAAACCCTGGACGTCTTCGACAAATCTCTTCTCTACTCTACTTGCTTTGAAGTCCCCAAGGAAGGGCCCGTTTTGCAGAGCAAAGTAAATCTCTCATAAGCACATTTTATGTAAGCCGAGACAAAACTCTTCTTACATATTTGCCTTGTATTCTGCAAATCACTATTGAAAAATTATTTATAAACTGTGCTAAACGGACTCGAAAGGAAATCATCATAGTCAATTTTGATTGTGATTCATTTTCTATTACAGAATGAGCTAACTTTATAAAACCAGTTCAATAGATTGGAGGCCCTCCCCCGTTGTGTCTTTTGCCATTAGCGTCGATGGTTCGCTGGTCGCCCCGCTGGCGAAGTCGGCTCCTTTGAGATTTGGGTGTTTGGATAAAATTAAATTATGATTTGAATAATAATTTCTAGAAGAAAAGTTATTTTTGAGAATGGATTTTGAAAAAATAGATTTTATAAAAAATGATTTTGATAAAGTAAGAGTGTTTGGATAATTGTTATCAGAAAAGAACATAAATTAATATGATAATTACATAAAAGATAGATTTTATAATATATTTTTATTTGAAGTAATAAATTTTTTAATAATATATTTTTTGCCAAAATAGATTTTGAAAAAATAGATTTTATAAAAATGATTTTGATAAAGTGAGAGTGTTTGGATAGTTGTTAACATGAGTTAATATGATAATTACATAAAAGATAGATTTTATAATATATTTTTATTTGAAGTAATAAATTTGTTAATAATATATTTTTTGCCAAAATAATAAATAATATATAAAAAAATATAATTAATAAATAAGTAATATATGTATATGTATATATAAAATATAAGATTAAATATGTTTTTAGAAAAATAATTTTTTTTGCTAATAGAAAAATATTATTTTAATTTTAAATATGAAATCTCATAATATTTTTTCACAACTAGTTTTTTTTAACCACATACTAACTCTAGTATTTAATATAAGAGTTATTTTGATATTCAATTTGATCTTAAATATAAAAATTTAATCTATTTTATTTCCTATATTTATTCATTTTTTTAAAAGTAGTTCTTGTAGTAGTTACACATGGTAAATATTTCATCAAATGATACTTCTAGTAAATACATGTGATTAGAAATAGTATTTTAGAGAAGACAATACCTATTTATTACAAATAGCTAACTTAATTAATTTTTTAATCTACACAAATTAATCAACTAGCTCTTATATTAAGGACTAAAAATAATATTACAATATAAAAAAAAACCACATTTTCAAAAAGCAACAATTTTTTTGCTTTCATGAAACCATAGTTTTAGAGGCCAAAACCAAACCAAGATTTTCTAAAAAATCTGCCTCTTTGGATAATACGAGTATCTTGCCAAAACTATGGTTTAGGATGGAAAAGCCTTTTTTTGGGAAATTGCCAAAACGCCCCCCCGGCTTGTCTCCCCCGGCTCCGTCAGCTGGCACTGTCAGTTCATAGAGTAGCTTCCTCTTAGTGCTGGATTATTTTTTATTATTAGTTTCTGAGTTCTTAATTCAATCAGGGTTGTTAGTTTAGCTCATATAAGTTCCTGATGCATTTAGCTTCATGTCTAAGGTGTACTGTTTGGTATGAGAGAAATTTTTTTAAAAAAAAAAAAGAGGGGAAGAAAAAATTTAATGAGGTCTATTTAAAAAATTGAAAAAATAAAATTTTAAAATTTTAATAGACAGAAAAAATAATATAAAAGAGTAATAAAAATCAATTAAAATTTTTTATCTCTACTTTTTTTGATCTTTTAAATCTAGCTTATTGAAATTTTTTTTCCTCCCCGTTTTTTTTTTTTTTACTCATACTAAACAGACCTAAGAGTGACGTTGTTAATATCGAAGCAGAGGCTGATCAAATGAGGAATGGATCATTATTTTATTTCCACATCATTTCTTTAGAGACAATATATATATACATATATATATATCTCTCTCTCTCTCCCAGTCAAGTTAAGCACGCCAACGAACTCTTATATTCTGTTAATTTGTTCTGTGCTTATTCTGGACAGATCCCTTGCCGGATAAGCAGCGTAGAAAGGCTCATGGTTCAATGAATCAGCAATTCTTATAGTGCAGTCTTCTCATATTGTTTAGATGTTCTTTCTGTACAATCAAAAGAAGGTTTATTTCCTGATTCTACACGTGTCACAGTTGGAGGCTTTGCACAAACTGATCTGCTTGTTCAAGTTAAGTGCAAGTCATCACAGAAGACAGATTGGAGAGGTCTGGTAGTAGCAGGGCATGATCGAAGGATACATGTAGGCTGGCACAAGCCTTTTCTGTTTAAATTGTCTCAGACCCTCCAATTGTAATTTTCTGTAAAATGTGGTAAGTCGAAATAATTTGTGGATACCTTGGGAAATTTGATTAAGCTTTGGGTTATTCTCTCTCTCTCCCCCTCCCCTTCTCTCTCTGCTCCCGTTTTTCACGTGGTGATGTCTTTTCCAATTCAGCATGAAATTGAACAAAAGGTTATATTGACGACAATATGGGAAAAGCATTTATACATTTTGATTATGCTCTATCATTTTCATCAAATGGCTGAAGGGAGACTAACCTTTGCAAGATATGATATTTAGTCAAATGGCTTGAAGGAGCCTCTTCTTGCATTACTCTTTCAGTAAGAATTTTCTTGGCACAAAGGATGCTTGATTTACTTGTTGCTCTGTTTTTGTTATGTCATTCTCTATGCTTCCCAACAGTTGAGAATGGCTTTTTTCCCCTTCCTGTTCTGCTTCTTCAGATAATTAGACTTTGCCCCTTTGATATAAATATATATCAGCTCCGCCTAGTTCTCAATTCTTTTTCCTTTCTTTTCGAATTATTATCTCATGTTTTCAAGGTTCGATTTCATTTTGATCTGTAGCACTGGGTTTTTGGTTCCCTAGCATAACTCTGTCAATAAGGATTTTCTTGGCACAAAGGGCCTTTAATCTTGGCTTACGGTTTGAACGAGTCTCTTTCTATAAGTACTCTGTTACTAACTATTCTTGTGCCTCTACTTCTGCCCTTCCTTCTTTGTAATGTCCGCAAAAAGAGGAAGCTTTATCTTCTGCTTCTTATTCTCCAAACAGAGTATTCGTACTTTGGTCACTCTATTCATGACAAACATCACATTCTATTCTACATGTGCTTGTGGCTCTCCATCTTATGGCTTTTTGAATAATAAGCAAACTCAAAGTGGATCACCAGCAGGGTTAGGTCCAGCGGAAAAAGCTAATCCTTCATAACGTGACGAACCAAGATTCAAACCCCTATTAGGAGAAGTACTCACATTTAGTGTCTGATAATACCTCAAGTAAGATTGCCTCTAATTAGATAATACCTATACTTTAACCCCAAAAAAAAAAATCAAAGTGGATCTCCATGAGTTTGCATTATAATATAACGGAATGAGACAGGGCAAGGAGTGAGAGATTACTGAACCTGAAAAGGAACCATGCATTTTCAAAATTATTCCCTCACTTCAATTTCATTTGTTCCTCCGAGCAAACAACCAAAACAATACATTTTCTTTGGAGTTAATATAATTTTTGAATCCTCAAGTTTACTGTTATTTTAGTTTTAGTTCCTTAAATTTTAAAGCATAAGTCTTGATTCTTTAATGGGCAAAATGATCTAGATTTTTATTTAATCATAGGGATCAATGTTATGATTTGAAACTTGGAGGATCAAAACTAAAATAAAAGTGAACTTGAAAGACCAAAAACTATATTAGCCTTTTCTTTGGATTACAAGTTGCAACATTACATAAACAAAAAGGAATTTTAAAGCTAAAATGATGAAATAAAATTTATTTATTATTAACATAATATGAAATTATTATACATAAAGCTGTCTCTAT